ATATAAATTATAATTTATGACATTAACTGTACTCTATCCAGAGAGAGAATGTACCCATTCTGGCATCCCACCCTAGTCAAACTGGTCTTGAGCGAGGATGCACAGAAAAAATAATTTTTATAAGGGTTGAGGCTTCTTCTCACACTGAACAGAGTACATATTTATTTATTATAATAAACCTTTAACTGATCAAATTCTTTTGCACTAGAAATCATTGATAAAATTTCTGACATATTCATAAAAGGCTTTAAACTTTGATTAAATATTTCAACACTGTCATAACTAATATAAAAATGACTAGCTGTGCGACCCATGTCTGTAAAATAAAATAAATATAATATAAATATAAATACACACTTAAAAAATAATTGAAGTTGGTTAATAATAAACCTGTAGATGAAAGATCTCCAGTTCTTTCATTGTAACGTAACATTTGTGCTCTATCTAAAGCCATTGCTGCATTAACAATAAACTCTTTTCTTTTGTTTACTAACATTGGATCTAACTGAAAGTAATAATCATAAAATATTTAAATAAAAATTACTTATACATAATATAAGACTGTTCATTTACTTCAACTTCTTCAAGCGATATGCCGTAAACGTGAGGATTTATACGCATTCTGACAAATAAATAAGTATAACTAAGCCACGTAACAGCTTCCTCGACATTTGATATTGTACCTAATACAACCTACAAATTAAAATAATACTATTAAGACCAGTGCTATTACAAAATTTTTAATTATTTGATTCATTGAAAATAGCTAAAACTTATTATATAATAATGCAAACCTCAGCATTCAAATTATTGACAAGATGTTGTACAAAACAACTTTCGATTGGTATTTGATTGGTAAGCAATGATAAATATTTGTGAAGTTTGGCATGTGGGGTGATAATCATTCCATGTCCAGAAGTATCAAATTGGGGTCTTCCAGCACGACCAAAAATTTGTAAAACATCAAGCATACCCAGATCAACAAATGTCCCATGTTTTGAGTCATATAATTCTGTTCCCTATAAATAATTTTATTTATTTATTTAAAATATGATAATATTCATAACAATTACAATATTTTATTTTTAACATTAAAATTAATGAAAATCCTATAGAAGTATATTGATTTTTCTTGAAAACAAAATAATGATAAATCTATAGGTTTATAATTTACCTTAATTATAACTGCATGAGCTGGAAGATTAACTCCCCATGCTAAAGTTGCTGTGCATACTAATACTTTAATAGCACCTTCAGAAAAGTACTTTTCAACAAGGTTTCTGTAAATACAGAAAAGGTAATTTTATTATGATTAGTCTAGACTTGTATGTCCTTAAAAACATTAAGAAACAATGCAATATGTATTTATGCACCAAAAAACTTTAAACACCTAAAATAAACTGTTTTATCTACCTTCTAAGTTGTAGATATTAACCATTTTTCTAAACTTCAATAAAGCTACAATACACTTAAAAAATATACATGTAAATTTATAAATTATTTACCTGTCAGATCTCAAAAGACCAGCATGATGAACAGAAAATCCACTATTTAATAATTCACTTAATTCTTTTGAATGACAACGCTCAAAAGCTTTTTTAGCTATACCTATTCTATTAGAATCTTGGGGTAAGAATGCAGTTTGATGATTTTTCTGGGTTGAAAGTTCCCTGAAAACATTAGCTGTTTTTATTGTAGCATTGCGAGCATGAACAAACACCATAACCTTAATACACAATAAACAAAAATTAAACTACTATATATTTATCAATATTACCAAATAAGCTTACCTGATGGCCTTTTTGTACCATTTCATATACTTTATCATAACAAATTATATCCATTTCTTGTGCCATTTTTATAGTTTTGCTGCCACGAACACCAATAAATGTTTGAACTAATGGTACTGGTCTAAATCGTCCATCAAAATAAAATAACCCTTTATAAAGATTGACTCTTAAGAAACGAGCTATGTCTTGATAGTTTGGTAATGTAGCAGATAAACCAACAATTCTAATCATGCTTTGAGAAGACTCTACTTGTCTTAAAGTACGTGCTACAAGAGCTTCAAGGACTGGACCACGATCACCATGTAATAAATGTACTTCATCTATAATTAATAGTTTAACTAAACTTGTTAACGCAATATCCCCTAAAATACAAACATATTAGTATTTATGATACATATAATATATATAAAATAAAAAAGCCTAACCAGTTCCTTTACGGGTAGCTACATCCCACTTCTCCGGAGTTGTAACTAATATTTGAGTATTGAGCATTTCTGTTTTAGTAAGTGACATGTCACCAGTAAATTCACGAACAGAAATCCCTAGGCTAGAAAGACGTTTAGAAAAATTTGCAGTCATTTCAGCAGCAAGAGCTTTCATTGGAGCTACATATACAATCTGAAACATAATATTAAAAAGTGAGAAAGGATATGATAATAAAGGTGAAAGTGTATACCTTAAATTCATTTTTATTTATTTCATTATTTTTTATGTGTTGTTTAATTTGATGGATTATAGTTAACAAAGCAACATTAGTCTTTCCAGCTCCAGTTGGAGCACATACTAGTAAATTTTCATTTGTATTATATGCTGCGTCAAAAACTACTGATTGTATTCTATTAAGATTAGTAATTCCATGAAATGCTTTCTGTCCAACCTTTAAATACAAAAATAAATGTAAGTTATACAATGTTTCATGACTAGCACACAATCAAATAACTTCATCAAGAGTTTTAATGGAAATCAATTCTTTTCCAACAGTCAGTTCTTGTGTCATTTTTGTAACTGGAATATAAACTTCTTCATGTGTTTTATGGTCTGTTCTTTTGGCTCCTGCAGGGATAACACATGACTCTCCAGATATGAAACCTATTTGATAAATATCATATTGTATAAAAACAAGAAATTAAAAAAAAAATTAAAAAAAAATACTTACAATTTGATACTTTTGATTCAAAATTCATATCATACACATGTGGGTATTTCTGAACTGAAGGAGCTTTTCTACTTTTCGGGTCAATAAACGTAGGAACATTTGCTGCACTTGTCCTTAAATGCAATAATCAACAATTTATATATTTAATTCATGGTTAAAGCAGATTAAGTCTAGTAATTTTTCTAACGTTTTAGAAACCATTTTTAAAATTTCTTCATCTGAATCTGAGTCATGACGGCGATTTAGTTTTTGGTAAGCCTTTTCTTCTTTTCTTAATTCCTTTCTAAGTAATTTATCTTCTTCAGTTTCAATAGTAATCATTTCCATATGTCTAGGTCTTTTTTCCATTTCTATTTAAATAATTAAAACAATTAAGAATTTATATTATATTAATATGCTATACTTTCATTTTCATACTTAAATTTGTTGAAAGCAAATTTTTTTTTTCATTTGTCATTAAACACTGTTTTAAAATATCTTTTCTGTGTTTTAAAAGTGTTTCAATGAGTGTAAGTCTAGTAAAGCCGAGTAGATTAAACAACTATAAAATAATGAAACAAAGTTAGTTTAAAATATAAAATTTAATAGATTTTTTGAAAAGTTATAGATACACTAGTTAAATTTAAATTTATATTGATTATGTATATAACTATATAATTAATATAATATTAATAGATAGTATGAATATTGATGTAGTGAAGTTTTTAATATGCAATAACAATTGATAAATGAATAATAAAAATTTAGCTTAGTTGTAACATTAAATATTATAATCAAATATTCAGAACTTTGAACATGTTCTGGTTAATTTGGTGCTAAACACACTTTTTTTTTACTATTCTTTACATAGATTTTTAGATTTTTTACTTTTAATTAAGGCAATCTAAATTTTTTATTCTTAATTTTTAATGTAAATATTTATATTTAAGTGAATTTAAGTTCTCGAAGCTTAAATAAAAAGTGTAGAGTACTTAAGTCTATATTATCTATCATTTGAGATTACACTACTTCAATGTAACTTTCCAATCATTTTCTATAATTATAATATTATCTTAATATTTTAAACATTATATATAATTAAAATACTATATTAGTTATTTTTATTAAAAAAAGTTTAAAAGTGTATTAACCTTTTTCTTAAATTTAAAAGTTTTAGCTTTTCAAAAATCATGTTTATGGAATCAACTATTATAATCATTGTTTATTTGTTTATTTTAAAATTTAAACAATGAAAAGATTATAATATGATAGATGCTAGATATTATGAATAGTATTATATAATACATTTATTGTTTAGAACAAAAAATAAAATTTTCACTTCAAAACACAAAATAACTTTAGTAAGACTTAGAATCAGTTAAATGAAAATTTCCCACAGCCACCTAATGCCCAAGGAAAAACTCAATTTGATCCGCTCGTAGTGTACAAGACACCACAAAACACATAATAATTGAATGCCGAGTATATATCAACCACCTGAATAATTTACATGCTTCCTGAATCAACAGCCGAAATACTTAATAACTATCCTCGGTCAATCACAAGCATCTTTTAAATTCATTACCGCTACCGCCTCTAGTCTACAACCTAAAATTTAACAATTCAAAATTAAAGTTTTTAAGAATTATTTTACTATGCGAACAGTGAGTTGTCTACACTGATTTTTATCAATTTTATTTAGCAGAAATCTGAAATTTATACATCGTGATACTAACTGTGATAAAAGTATAGACCCTTTAATATTAGATCTATGGATATTGGATAGTAGTACCATCATATTTATAAATCACTGAATAATTATAAATACTTAAAAGTAAAAAATTGGATGTAATTATAATTTAATATTTTATATTTAATGCACAAAACACAAAATTGTAAACAAATACACTATACAGTAAGTTATCACCACAAACTACAACATACTATTTTTTTAAGATTAGATGCAAGTGCTTACTGATTATTTGATAATTTTTGTTTTGATGAATTGTGATCGTAAATTTTAATTTTAAAGTTCATTGTCTTATAATAACTTTTGTACTGAGTGAAATTATTAGAAAAAATGAATATAAATATGAAGAAACTGACATTAAATGTTATACCTGGAATGTCTTTGTCTAGTATAAAACAATTTGCTAGCATTGAAACAGGTATGTTACAAAAGGACTTTTACTTGTTGTTTAATGGAAAAATTTTAAATGACGATACTGTTCAAAATGGTATTGTTTATATTGTACCTCGGGTAATGGGTGGCAAGGGAGGATTTGGTTCAATGCTACGAGCAATTGGTGCACAAATTGAAAAAACAACAAATCGTGAAGCTTGTCGAGATTTAAGCGGACGTCGATTACGTGATATAAATGAAGAAAAACGAGTTAAAGATTTTTTAGCCAAAGGAGGTCCTAGTACAGAAGATCCTGAAGAGCGCAAAAAACGAAAATTACAACGCCTATGTCAAGCACCCAAAACAGAATTTAAAGATGAACATTATGAAAAGCAAATGTCTGAAATGACAGAATCTGTATCAGATGCAATAGAGTGTGGTTTCAAAGCAGGCACATCGGAAATTCCAATCAAGAAAAAAATTAAATCCAAGGGATATTTTGATTCCGATTTGGATACAGATAGTAGCTGTGATGAATTAGATGAAGAAAAAGTGTCTATTGAGTCAACAAAAAAAGAACAATCAAATAAAGAACTAAAAGAAACAGAAAATGTTAATAAACGTAAAAGTTTAGATTTAGAATACACTGATACTGTTACAAAAAAAAAGATTAAAGTTTAACAATTAAAAAAAAATATATGTATATTATTAAATTAACAGATAATGTTTAATGTTAATTAACATTAAAAATGATTAATTTTTGTTAAGATATATAAATATAGATTTTCAAAAAAAAATAATTTTGAATTTATATTTTTAATGATTGTCTATAGGTATTATTGTAAACTTAAATAATATATAGATTAATTAATGGTTTATTTTTAATCATATTAAGGGAACATATCTAGTTATTTAAGATAAGTTTATAAATTTAATTGATTATGTCTAATACTATTTATGTACAAAATAAACTTATAATTTTAATTCTAAGCAAAGGGCAATTTTGTTATTATCCTATTTTTGGTAATATATTCAATTCAATTTAAGAAACATACTAGAAAGGGACCGGTTTTTATCGGACAGTAGTAGTCAGCATCACCTAATTTCCCCACCCAGCAAATTAACTGTATATCAACTATGTAGTGAAGTTATGCTTCTGCAAACGAATTGGCTATCAAGTACGTATCTTAATTTAAACAAAGTATAAAAGTGTTTAAAAAATTTTAATAAGCAACATTTAAGTTTAAAGATCAGATATAAATTAAGGATGTTAATTCAAGACAGCATTTTAAAAATCTAAGTTATCAAAGAAAAATAAACATATAAAAAGAATTTAAAAGGGAGATTTTAACTAATTTTTTCTCCAAAACATTTTTATGTATAAATATCAAATTTTAAATCTCAATTTGTCGATAGAAGACCCAGGTCTGAATTAAGCAGTAAGAAGTCTAGACTACAGCTTATAGAACCATAAATGATCATTGATTTAAGGGCACCATTCAATCATTTTTAATCTATATCATACAAAAATAAGTTAAAAATAATATCCTATTATATGTATAGTTCAAATTTTTTCAAGAACTATGAGGTACAGTAAATGTTAATTCGTAACCTATTTAAGCTAAAACAAAAATTAAGCTAATAATAATAATGTAAGAATCTAATCAGATATTTATTTTATTTAACAATCATTTTTCTGATACATAGAATTTTATGAAATTTAATATTTTTAAAATTTATTTAAAATTATTTTTTTATATTATATTAATTTAATTCTATGTTTATAATAATAAATAAATTATAAAATCGCTTACTTCATCTTGAAGTTCAGTATCAGATTTTTGAGTTGAAAGCAGATCTATGATATTAGTATAATAATCTTCATCTGAAACGCCTAAATCTATTGATGAGGTTTTAGTAATCTGTTTCAATAGCCAAGCTTTACCAAACTAAAAAAAAAATAAAAATAATATTTAAACTGTTCAACAAACTAACTTATTGACTATGAAGATAATTTCTAAAATATTGGGATGATGGAATTCATCTTAAAATAAATACTAATATTTTTAATATGTAAATTATTGTAAAATAAAAAAAGTAAGTCAATTTACATTTGGAGATCTATGATTTATTCTTTCTTCTTCGTTATAAGCCATGGAGAATAACTTAGAAGTCTTTGAATCGTAGTTCAGAATAGGTAACTTATCAAAATTTGGAGGTACCCATTTGGAGTTTAATTTATAACGTATTATATCAACAACCAAAGAATTCTGAACTTGGTTTTGATTTTCTTCATTATTAACTTTATGATCATCAAGCTTCTCCCAAAGTGTTTTCAATTGCTTCAAACTTTTTTCGTTCATCAACTGTTCTACTTCTTTAACCAACTGTGAAATTTAAATAAAATTATATTCTTATAAAATAGGCAAATTAATAAATTAAAAATTACTTTGTATATTTGATCTGCGTTATTATTTGATACTTTTCCAAACATACTTTTAAGTTCTAAAATATGTTTCATTAATAGTCCAGAAACGCCAATAAACAATTTGAAAAAAAACAAAACTGATGAACTCAATATTTCTGGTTGTTCATCTTTTGCTAGAAAATTAATAACATTTAGAATGTGAAAAATGTGTTATTGCTAAAAAAGAGCATAATATTGTATAAGAAAAATTCAATTTTTTTTACAAGATTATGAAATGTTATAAAAAGCTAAAAATACTTAATTATTTTAAAATGAATAATTATGTTAAAATATTGGTATGTTATTAATAATAACTACATTACTTAATACTTACAAAGTTCTTGTGCTATTCCATACAACATATGCAAATTCTTCATAATAATATCGTTTTTAGTTTCATTGATAACATTGCAAAGTTCATTAAATGTAAGGAATCTGAAAATTAAATCCATATTAAATATAATGAATTGTCATAACTTAATAACATTAAATGTATACAAATTACAGAAAGTCATAAAACTAATCTATAAAACATATTGACAGAATACAAAGTATAGGTATTAGGTGTTTGGTTTGTTCACTTCTGAGTAAAGTTGTGGTATATCTAATGAATAAAATTTAAAATTAAAAAATAAAATATTTTGAGCAATTAAAATGTACTATTTTTCTAACATTTCTTAAAAACTGTACAATTTTAAATTATTTTTCCATACATGCGTTAAAGTAAAAATTATGTTTTCATAGATTTTTAATTAGTAAATGGTGTTATTTGAATGTTGTAATATACTAATTTTCATCAAAAGCATATATAGACTAACACAATTGAAAAATAAAGATTACTAGGTACTATGTATTTAAAACTTAATTTTAATTAATAAGTAATTAAGTAAAAACCTAATATACCTTTATACATAAAAATTAAATATTAATAAAAATAATTACTTTTGAAATTTATTTTCTTCTTCATCTTTTTGTTTTTTAATAACATTAAAGTTATAATTCCAAATGTTAATTGGTTCCATATATTCTGTAATATCGTTGTTTAAATATACACGAATAGATCTTGAATATCTAGGTAGACTAATGTCAATGTGCTTACGCACATCAACTTTTACTTTTGCCATAGTTAAGTAAATGATTATCAGACCACCTATTTTAAAATAAAATTAATATTTAAATATTTGTATACTGAGAACTGTATTTTTAAAAGTGTTCTAATATTTTATCATACTTGACTTAAAGAGTTTGACAATTTCATCAACACAATATATTATATTAATTAATAAAAAAATTAATAACTACATACACACAAACATGAAAAATAAAACAGCTAATAATTTCAAATCTATTAACAGGCTTTATTTTTTTGAACGAAATTCAAAAATACTATTAAATGAATAATGATCGCTATTATACCTATTCAATACCTATTATATTATAGAGCCATGAGTGCATATATTGACATAATAATATATTTAAAATAATTCTTATCACTACCCAACTTCAACCATTTAAAGATAAGAAGATGAGAGAATTTGGTTTGAATTACTTTTTATCATAGTCCGTTGTTTGGATTGTACCCACAGATATATATATATATATCTGTAATTGTATTTACAAGCCATAGCTATAGATAACATCTAACTATCTTTAATCGTGTCACGAATCAAATTAATAAGATAATATATTATTGTAGTTTGTAGTTTATGGATTGTAAAATGATTGTATAATATATTCAAAATCTTTAAGTACCTAGTTTCCCACAGATCACATTTTAATCTGTGTAATGTATAGATACCCCGATTGACTTGATTTAAGTTAATCAAGGTAAATGTTAAATGGCAAATACTAAATAGTAAATACAGATTACGAAATTACAGCTGGTGTTAGGACTGTTAGGAGGACATGACTATATAATTTGAAGTAAGTGGTAATAATAATTACAGTTATCGTGGTTTATACCAGCATCAGCATGACGATAATATTATCAATAATCAAATGCGCAGTTTTGATTATTTTTAACTAATTTTTCTTGCTGTTGTATAAATGTATAATTACTTCGTAAATATTTAATTTAATTTTTTATTATGTAGTCGTCTTATTTGATCTCGTGCTTAAAGTAATAGGATATGAAATCCATTAATGAATGTAAATAGATAACATTGATCTCATATAAATCAAGAGGTACCTGTGCATTGAAGATTCTGGAGAACAAAGGTTTTTGAATTAATACCATACAGTATTATAGTCTATTATACTTTGACCTCCTATCATTATGTCCTTTGTTTTTTTTCTTTTGCAACATTCTAAAATAATTGTCAGTTTCATTTATTTTCTTAGTACTTTTTCTCTGTGATTTGAAATAGATTTTATTTTATGCTATTGTATGTTCTATTGTATTACAATTTCTTATATCTAATTATTACTATTTTTAGACACAATTATGCCTGAAACTGGATATCAAGTTCTTAGTTCTGAAAGAGAAGAAGAAGTTCATTTCCAGTTTACTCCTAATGTAGCTAGAAGTGAGTGTTCTAAAATATTTACATTTAATTTGAAGGAGATGCATAGTTATAATAATTATAGAACTGTTTATTAAATATAAACTATAATATCTGCATGTTATAATAATTTATTATTAATGTGATATTATATATTGTTTTAGACCGATGGAATCATATAGAAGACTTAGATACATTTTTTACAAGAATCTATCTTTATCATCAAAGACATGGATTTATTTGTCTAATTCTTCAATCGGCATTAGATCTTTTGCAAGTGATATTCTTGTTGGTGTTTTCTTTATTTCTGTTTTATTGTATTGACTATCCAGTACTTTTCAGGTATGATTTTATTTAAGTTATTATAATGACTGTTATTTAAATAATATCTCCAACAAGTCTATTTTGATAAAATTTTTTATTCAAAATATTATTAAACTACTCTATTATATCAATAAGGTATTTTAAGCTATAACATTTTAGGTTTGATGTTAATACTGCTAGTATAAGCCATAAATTTAAATTGTATTATTATATAATTGTAACAATTGCGAACAATAATCTGCAAACATCACATTATAATTTATAAATGGTGAGTCCAAAATTTTATCACCTTTATTTGACTTCAGTAATAATTTAACTTTAATAATAATATAAAATTAAATTAAATTTCCCTGTATAAAATCAATCTTGATTTAAATCTACAAACCCTGTTTCCTAAAATCTAATTGATTTTGGTATCTGTTATTATTTTACTGAATTAAAATGTTTTTATAATTAAAAGGATAATTCTGTGAATGTTATAATTACTTTCTAAATGGTTAAACAATAAAATACTGATTTAATACATTTATATTTATTATTAATTTTAAATCTTATTCAATATTTAGAGACAAACCAGCTGATTCAAACAGAGTAATAAATGGTACTGATAAAGTACGTTTATCTGATGTTATTCTGCCTGCATCAAAATGTACTAGCAAGTTTACAATTTTCACATATCTATATATGATACCACTATTAATGTTTGCTCTTTTCCGACTCATGAAAGTGTTCAATGTTGCTTATCATTATGCTGATATCAAAGCATTTTATAATGTTGCTCTTCATATACCTGATGTGAGATTATTAAAATAGTATCTTTCAGAATGTTAAAAAAAATTTTAATTAATCATATTCTAGAAAGAGTTACAAAACTACACTTGGCGAGAAATTATCCACAAAGTAATAGAAGCACAAAAAGAACAAAATATGTGTATACATAAACTTGATCTTACAGAACTTGACATTTATCAACGTATTTTAAGGTGACTTGAGCATATTTTTAGTATTTTTTTTTAAATAATTTAATACCTATCTAATTACTTTTTTTTTATTATTTGTTAGAACAAAAAACTACTTAATTGCTCTTGTGAATAAATCTGTGCTTCCTACACATTTTAACATACCATTTCTTGGTGATGTAATCTATTTTTCTAATGGAATGAAGTACAATTTAAATTTGTTGCTTTTCTGTGAGTAATTAAACAAAATAAATATATTTGAATAATCTAATTAAAAGTATGTTCTATTTTGTTTTACAAAGTTAATATTTATGTTATATACTTATACATGTATATTATAAAATAGTAAGTATAACATATAAAGAGTTGTATACAAATAACATATAGGTCCTTTATTAGTTATACAATATAACAGGAAAGCTCATCAAGTAAAATAGCTTACCATATGTATAAAACTCTAAAATGTTAATTTTGTGTTTTCATGTTTTGAATACATTTATTTTTATATATTTTCAAGTACTTGCAATACATTTTTGTCATACTAATTTTTAGGTTGTTATTTTATAAATAAAATATTACATTATTAATTGTTTATTTTAAAGATCTAAATATTTATTATTATTATTATTATTATTATAAATAATTGTGTAAGCTGTAAAGTACTCTAGATTATTTAAAAAATTATCTTTTAAAATATATATTTATATATATATTTTAGTAACAATATTAATTTCAGGGGGTCCATGGTCACCATTTGAAAATAATTGGCATCTGAAACCAGATTATAAACAACCTGGAAAGCGTTTGGAGTTGGCACAGTCAATGCGTAAAACTATTAGTTGGGTTGCTTTAATTAATGTATTGCTATCTCCAGTAATTTTTACTTGGCAATTAATTTACAAATTGTGTGACAATGCTCAAGTAAGATATTTAGTTTTAAAATATTATTCTTAACGTTTTAAATTTGTTGTATTAATTAGATGGTAAAAAATGAACCAAGTGTACTTAGTATTCGGATGTGGTCCTTATATTCAAAAATATATTTGCGTCACTTCAACGAACTAGACCACGAGCTCAGTGCCCGACTTAGTCGTGCATATGTGCCTGCAGCTAAATATTTACAAAGTTTTGCAGCGCCTGTTAGCGTTATAATCGCAAAGTATGGTTTAATTTCAAAATTAATTATTAAAAAATTAAAAATTTGTAATATCTTATTTGAATTTTAGGAATACAATGTTTTTCACAAGTGCTATCATGGTACCAATACTTGCACTAACTGTGTATGATGACAGTATTTTATCAATTGAACACATGATAACTATATTGAGTGGATTATCACTATTATTTTTGATTTGTCGGTTAGTTTAAAATGTTTAAATACATTAATATCATAACTAATAATTTAATTTTTAATAAATAATTGATTTTATAATTTTAGAAGTCTTGTTGATGATGATAAGGAAATTGTTTGTCAAGAATCATTAATGACTGCTATATTGACTGAAGTTCATTACCTACCAGATTCATGGGTTGGGAAAGCACATACACAACAAGTCAGTAATCAGTTTTCTCAAATTTTCCCATTCAAAGCTGTAAGTACTGAATATATTATATTAAATATTTAAATTCAGTATGTAAGAGATTTTTATTTTCAGAATTATTTGTTTAACGAATTAATTTCACCATTAGTCACACCATTTATACTGTTTTTCTGGCTTCGTCCTAGATCTTTGGAAATTGTAGATTTTTATCGTAATTATACTGCAGAAGTAGCAGGAGTTGGTGATGTATGTGCTTTTTCTATGATGAATTTACGGAAAAATGGTAACCCTGCTTGGCGTTCTCCTGGCCCTTCATCGCCTGGTACCCCTACAGCAAAATTGCCTCAAATAGATCAAGCTGAAGATGGGAAAGTAGAAATGTCTCTTCTCAGTTTCTCTGTACGGAATCCTACTTGGGATCCAGTGGATATTGAAGCTAAAGAGTTTGTTGATGAAATAATTGCTAAGACGCGTCAAAAATATTCATCCACTAGCAATTCTATAATAAATCCTGTAATTTTTTAATTGAATATTCATTATTATTGATTTTATAATATTTATATAATAATTTTTATTAATAATTTTTTTTAGTTTCAAAATCATGATATGATTGGTAGTACATTACATATTGCAGAAATACCTTCCTGTTTAATTGGGCTTGATCAGAGCACACGATTGTTGCATAAAGAAGGGTATATTATTTTTTTAAATTCATTAGTTATTTTATTTTAACAATAATTTTTTGATTATTTAGTTTAACTGGTCGACCAAACCGAATCAATAGTAGTTCTGTAATGTGCTCATCAATATTTTCTTCATCTGACTATTTAACTTCAATAGAAGTAAATCAAAGTGCATTGCTTTTACATAGCATTCATAGAAAGTAATAATATATTTATTAAATTATTAAATGAGTAATTATACTTACATCTGTTGTACTTTTTTAGACAACTTGAAGAACGAGGCAATCATGCAAGCACTTCAGTTTCTCAATCTGTTCTTAAAACTAACACCAATTTACAAGAACGAACTCCTTTGCTAAAACCAGTTGCTAGGATTATCTGATTGTATTTAATAAGAACCTCAAAATTGCTGTGATATTAATTAAGGTGTAGTAATATTCTTTTCCAATATTTTTGAGATTATATTCAATATTTCAAGGAACTGTTTTTATTGGTATGACTATTTTTAAGAAACTGAGATTTTATTGTGTGACACTAGTTTTTTTTTACAATAAGCTTTGTAATTATATGTTGTTTTTTTTTAATATAGTTATTTCATAATTTTTAATCCCGATTTTGCCCAATTGTTATAATTGAAATATAATCAATATTATAATATAGTTTTTATGTTAAATGATTGCTTAATCTGTAATAAAAAAAATTCGAAACTGTTCATCTTAATATTTTCTGTAATCAAAATTGTCTTGAGGGATAATATGTTTCATTTTTATTCTTTTTTTTCTTAACTCATGCTCTCATTTATATTCAGACAACTAATGTACCTACTACAACTTCCATTAGCTTCTGTTCATGATATTTTTACTTAATCAAACTATTTTCTGTCTATCTATTTCTCCTCTTGTCTTCCCTTCCCTACCACTCTATCTTTTTCTATATCTTCTAACCTTTCATTCTATATAATTTTAATGGGAAGGATTGTAATGCAAATTTTAAGCTAATTTTTACGTACTACTTATAATTTATAGCATATATACGATATGCTATCGGGCTATAATTTAATTTTTCTAAGTTTTAATGCTATAATATGCCAATTGCCTACATTAATTCAGCTAGCATGGAACAAGAATAAAATTAATTTCGTTTTGTAAAGTGTAAATCCATAGCCTGATATCTCCAAACTGTTATAATAGTATTGATAATAGGTGAATGCTAGAACGAGGTTAATATAAATAAAATTATAAATTATATTGACCTTGCCGTTCCTCAGAATATGCATACCTACTTAATATCATACTTAGCTGATATCATATTTATCAATATAAGTACGTATGTTTATCTTATCATTATGTGTAGATTATAAAATGGTATCAATACATAACTCGTATCATCACAGAATATTATAATTATTTGTGTGGATTTAAACATATTAAACGTTAAACATTTATTAACATTCATTCAATCATACTTAATTTTAACATCTTATTATTTTATCGTGATATTAATTTCTTACTGTTTATTTACCAAAACTAAAAAATTAACAATAATAAATGTAAGCAAACCAAATACAAGACAATTCATATTGTAAGTATGATAGTATGATAAATTATGATGCCTACTAATTTAAACCTTAAAGTACCATAATAAGTTTTAAATAAATAGTAATAGATGCATTGAAAATAAATTTAGGTCCTGCGTATAAATTCAGTTAATTTCTTGTTTACTTAAAATGTAGAATTAGGTAATGTCATTTCTTAAAATCTTACTGGAGATATTCCCCTAAAACTTTTCAATAGTTAAAGTAATAAAATCTCGTATAAACTGATGTATTGATTAGTTTTAGTTTCGTGCATTTATCTCTAGTGTATGAGTATTTAAGATTTTGAATTCGTAATTTATAACAAATATTATTAAGTCTAATAAAAAAAATAAAATTGGAAAATTATACCTACTACGACCTACAAGGATATAATATGTTTAAAACGTATTGGATTATTATTTGAAAACAAGCATTTACGTAGTGTTGCTTAAATTTCTAGGAAGTTTTTAAGTATACAAGAAAATTAAATAATACCAAAAAGTGTAATGACAAAAATTCTAAATTTCAAAAAATAATTTAATATGTCTTATTTTACTGTGGATTTTGTTCCGTGATTTTTGTACAGTTTTTTTCCCACAAGTTATTATTGCTGGTTACTTCATTGTGTAATATTTATAAAAGTGTATATAACTTAAGTAAATAGTATACCCAGCTAGTATCGATTCGTGTTCTAAAATAATGTGTTAGTAAATATAATAGTTATACATTTATCCTCGACTTAAGCTCTGTTTTGATATAATCACGCTTATAAATAGGTATGTTTTAGTATGCGATTAACATTCTATTATCTACGTTATCACGTGGAGTGAAAAAAAATCAACAATTAATGAGTTATATAAGCACACAATACACATCAAGTTAGAAAAGCAAAAAACGTGAAACAAATCCATCTATTTTGTTGGCCTATACAATTTTAGAAATTGTATATTGACATAATGTGTTAAAAAACCAATATTATAATGTAAGTAAGACGGCCCCAAACCCTTAAACATTTGTTTCATCCAATCTTTCCAAAATATTGCCCTACGCACTATAACTGGTGCTCCATGATACATGACAAACCTTTCACTTCACAATGACCTCGAAGTAATTATTAATGTCACAGACTACGCCAAATTTCACTACCACCATTTTTACTCCAAACTCAACCCCACCACAAATTCTCTCATTAAAAACATGGGTTTCATTTTATATCCCAGGCAACACCTCCACGCACACTTAAACGTAATTGGAATCGCGATCTACTTAAGTGATCGTAAATCCAACTAAAAGTTCGTAGGTGTCACCAGCGGCCAGCGGGCGACTTCCTTAAAAGCTGTTCTTGATATTATGTCATGTTTTTATTATATTATCTAAATTACTAATTGTGCTTGTTTGTACAGATCGTTTTTTTAAAATAAGAGGGAAAAAAAGTAATATATACATGCGTTATTATTATGTATTATATATGTATATATCGCAGGCACGAAGGATCAATTTGAAAGCGAGGGGTGAAAACGATAATCGCGAGCTATCAGAGCACGTCACAACAACATTAGGTATATAATAATATATTATAATGACGGACGAAGATCAATCGCCCATAAACGCACTGCCCGACGAGGTCCTGCTGTACGTATTCCGAACCATGTCCGCCACCGAGTTCGTCGCGATCCTGCCACTCGTCTGCGAACGATGGTCACGGATAATCGCGTCGGACTCGTGCACGCTAAAGCGGATCGGCATGCACCACGCGAACGCGATCGCAGCCGTCGAGTTCTTCTACTTCCGGGACGACAGCGAACGGTCGCAGATGTTCCACTGGCCGCCCGACGATTACGGGCGGCTGTTGCTGCGGCCGTCGGCGGCGGCGCGTGTGGGTTACGCGAACGCGTTCTACCTGTGCGCCCGGTACGCGGAGATCTGCGGTCACGTGGCCGCACTGATCATCTCGTCCGGCCTGTCCGTGTACGCTACCGACGGGTACACGTACGTGGACAGGCTGACCACGTTGGTGTTGCACGGCGTCCGCGTCGGCGAACAGGACCAGTACACGCTCGCCGAACTGGGCACGGTGTACTGCAACGTGCTGGACGTAGTGTACGTGAAGTGTTCGCTGGCCCCGCGCTTCGATCTGAAGTTCCTGTACGCCGGGTTCGGGCGGCTGCGGCGGTTCCGGACCGATCACAACGCCGTCGGCGTTCGTTTCCTCGGCGACCTGTTGAATGCGCACCGCCACACGCTGGAAACGGTCGTGCTGTGCTACTGTACGGTGACCGGTGACCGGTGGATAGACGTCCTGTCGGAGAGGCTCCGCGGACGGACCGTCAACCGGCTGACCATGCACAGCGCGTACTTCACGGATAGGTGCGTGAACCGGTTTCTCACCTCTGCCGACTTGGTCCTGCCCGACGACAGGTCCAACGTGGTCATCGATGGTAATCTAGGTCGGATCTCGTTCTCCATCGACATCGATCCCTTGCGATGATTTCGTTCATCGGCCATAGTTCTGCGAAGCATTTGATGAACTGAACGGTAAAATCGAAATCCTATTATTTTTCTCGTCCAACTACAAGTACTACATATACAACGATTCAGGCCCGATTTTCCGACAAATTGTGTAGGTTCTCATATAATACATAAATAATTTTTATATGAAAACATTACGATTTACAATCAAAATGTTGATAAAATTACACCAAAGCCAAGCATATTTATTTTAATCAAAGAGTTAATAAACCAGGAAAACAAACTTTGAGCTTGATCTCATAGCACATAAAAAATTGCAATCGGTCACCAAAAACGAAAACTAAATATCGGAAATTAAAACTTATTTTTTCAAACTTTAGAATTACAATTTTAGGCTACAAAGTGGAACTAATGTTTCATTTTCATTTAGAAAATAAAAGTTCATCTTAACTTATAACCTCATAATACTCATACTATATTATATTTTATATTATACTACTATATTATTTACTGTTGGCAAATTGGGTGTCGGCCAATTGGTACGACACGGTATATAGGTAATGATTTACTTTGTTATGCTTCGGATTACTGTGCGCTTAACGGTTATTTCATATTTGTCATTTGTCATATTGTGACAATACAATAACGCAAAATGTACTAATATGGGTACGGTTACCTAAATGTAAACGGATTTGTAATATTTTCATGTTTTATTTTTAGACTTAAGTTCATGGGTTTAAGCGTTAATTATTTATAGAAAATATAAAATTATGGTTTAATTTAATTATATTTTTTTTTTTTTGGATAATTAAAAAATTAATAATTATGATGTATTTGTTATACTAAAGATATTATTAAAAATTTCAATTCAACTGATGCATTATGAATTATACCGTTACACCGAGTACTGCATACATATGTATTTTAAAATCGTATATTTTAATGTTATTATTAAAAATTATACCATTGTTATCGATAAAATGAAAATAAATTATAAATACTATTAAATTACTGACTTCCTAACTAATGACATTAAATTATGTAACAAAAATAAAATATATACTCAGTGGCAAAGTTATCGGGACTCCAATCCTCCCACATTAAACTTAAACTAATTGAGAAAAATATAAAAAAAATGCATTTTTTTCGATGTTTAAGCCTTTATTTAATAAAAAAAAAAAACTATTACGTTCATTTTGTCGATTTATTTTAAATGAATTTAACTTATTTTACTATACAATGAGGTCCATCATTTTCAGAGCTCGTCAAACATTTTGTAGTATGGGTTTAGCTCTTAGTAATCGAATAAACAATAATTAGAGATTCGAAAAGTGGAAACACAAAGAGCCAGATCGTACCTAGGCAGTAGGCGTAACACCGTTGACCATTGCTTATAGTTTGTAACTTGTAGCTTTGTTTAAAAGTATTCAACTAAATAAATAGGTATATAATATGTATTGTTGGATAAACAAAAGATGTTCAAATTTGCCGAAATACTTTTTTTAAGACGAGAACTTTTAATATCAAATTCTGGTGGAACTTGAAAATTTAACAATTGAATCGTTAATATAGTGCATATACATATTTATATATTGTGATAAAATTCTAAAAGTTATTGAGGCTAAGTACTTACCAACTTGTAGTCACCTTAATTTTAAACTGAACGTTAATAAACAACTTCTGATTAAAGGTAATTCTGATCACTTCCAGTTCTATTGCTGCAAATGCGTAAATTATGAAAACGAAAGATGTGAGAATGGCACAAATCCCAAAAAAGGAACAATAAGCGTAACTGTCCTACAAAAACATCAACATGTTTTATGAACAATAGACAATAAATGTGCAAACGGTTTACAGCTGACACAACATTTGGGATCCAACTAGTATACTACCCTGTAATAGTACAACAATCCTGAATCTTCTCTGTGTCTGCCTCAACAATATTCTATAATGAAATTTTATGGGGTATATCTGGTATGAAAATATTCAGTCAACTACTTTACGATTTTATTATATAGGGTAATTCGACAAATATGCTTGTCTATTTTTCTTTTAATTCTAATTTTTGGAATTTTTAAACACACCTACTTAAACAAATTATTTTCAAGTACAAATACTTTTTAAATCATTTAAGAAGTGGTCCTTTGCGTTGATAACAGCTTCTTACTTTCAAATAAGAAATGGTCTTTTCTTCTATAAAGTGTTATGGTTTTAATAACTTTGTACTTGAAATTTTGAACTAAGATAATGTGATAATATAGAAAATTATATAAATTTACTAAAATTGTATAATAATGATTTTCTGTGGCTACAATCTCAAGAAATATAAAGTTCAAGATAATATGACCAAATCTAATTAAAATAAAAACAGTTTTTTTAAAGAAAATAATAAATATTCATTTTAAATAATATATTTAAAACATACACAATATATTATACATGAATATGTGTAAATTTTTATTTGTACATATAATCATCGGTAATTTGTATAAATATAAAATTTAACTGCAGAAGCTAAGGCGATTTGCTAATATACATAAGTGTTTTTCCATTGACATGAGATTTTATAAGTATTTAATAAATATAATTTTACATTTATAATTAATCTAATAGAAAACGCTTCATGTACATTTTGATCAAAATATAAAAATTTAAATAATGTTTTATTTATAGCAATCAGCGTTCATTTCATTATACACTAGTGTATACATTTTAAAATCTACAAAAAAATTATATTGGAAAACAAAAAAAAAAAAAAATGTTTTACATAGGTACATTTTCTATTGAAAAATATTTTGGTGTGTTAATTTGTAATAAATGTATACATGTACATTGTACATAAGATAAATAGTCAAAAAATATTATTATTAATATATTAAATAACAAATATAATATTTCAACAGCTCTTCATTTGACAATATCACACGGTCATTTGAAAAATCACGTAATGCTTTTTTTTTTAATGTAGAACTTTTAGACATTAAAATAATATTTATATTAAAAATTCAGACTAGTTCTTTCTAAAAAAAAAAAAATAATAATAATAATAATAAAAAAAAAGACATTGAACATATTTTTCAACTAATACTTAGAGAATGAACATTTTGTTGTCTCTAAAGCGCTGTCGTATAATACTACATAGGTAAATAATACTTGTACAAATAAAATTAAACCAGATCATCTGGTGTTATGACTGCAGACTATTAATTCTGTTCCCGTAACTTATAGTGTCACAGGATTAAATATGTTTGCTTACATTATGATTGTAATAGTATTGGCTCTATGACTGAATTTAAAGCATTAGAACTTTCCACGTTATTTTCATATAGATCTTTGGCTTTCAATAACCGATCAGCTCCTTTAAATAGTAGCATAAAAATATTATAAAGGAATGTAAAACATTAGAATAGCCACTTATTTAAACATACCAGAAGGTCGAAGTACTAAATAGTGTAGGATATCAGACAATGAGAGTATTCCAATGACTTTGTCCTCTGTGTCCACAACAACTAGCCTGTGCACCTGAAAAACAATTGGAAAATTAAAAATAAAATCATAAAAAAATTAATTTAAGTTTTCTTACTTCAGCACGAACAATTTTTTCAATTACACTAAATAATGTATCAGTCAGATGACATTTTTGTACACCTTCAAACCAATCACTTCGATACTCATTAGCTTGTTTTAGGGTAACATCTAAATTATTATATGTACGTTCAGCAGCTAAATTCTAATAACATAAAACACCAATTAAATATATATTTTAAATTATTAATATTTCATTTTGTGACTAATAACTTACAATAACATCAAATTTAGCAAATATATCAACAAGTCGACCTTCTTGATCAACCATAGGTAAAGCAGATACTCTACGTTCAACAAATTTTTTTAATGCTAATATAATAGATGTTTCTTCAGACACAGTCTCTATATTTTCATAAGTGCCAATTTTTAGTTCTTCTAGACTCTGAGATAAATATGCAGGTTTTGGTAAATCATTTATCTAAAATTTAAAAATAAGATTAATTATATAATATACAATACACTGTCTACCATATTAATAAAAAAAAAAACAAATATGAAAAAAAAAATAAAAAATAAAATTCAATACCCTTACGTAAAGAAGAAGAAATCGTAGAATGCGTTTATGTGTCACAATATAAAGAACATTCCCAGTTGCAGGATCAATTACTGGAAGCCTATGTATTTTATTATTTATAAGGGTTTGAATAGCGAAATATAGTGACATATCAGGGCCAATTGATATTAATTCTTGAGGACGTTCTTGATGTAATTCATCTGAAACATGAATTATTATCTTTAAAAACTTTTCTTTAAGGATATACAAATACTATATAATATTTTTTACTTCTCCAGGTATCCAACTTATGTTCTTCTAATTCTTCCATACTTGAAGATGAAGAAGAATAATACTTCTGTAGTATTCTGATAAAATCTGTAATAGTTAGCATGCCTACAAATTGTTGACGCTTATTGTCCCATAATGGAGCTGCTCGCACACCATTGTAGACCAAAGCGAAAAATGCCTTTTTTACAATTAATTGTGTATCGAATACAACCAATTTTGCACTGGTTGGTATGAGATCATAAGTTTTATGGAAGCGAAAAAATTTCACAAATATCTGACTTTCGTCTTCGACTAAAATTAAAAAGTTAGCAATTGTTATTTAACTTAATCATGTTATAGATAAATTTCTAAAAGTTTAGTCTATAACTTACCCAGGTCTTTTATTTTCACTTTTTCTAAGAATGGATCAGCAACAGGAAGCTAAAAAATAAACACAAATATTGAGCATTTATCAAATACATTAAATTGTGAACAAGGGTATTTGAATACTTACTCCTCGGGAATCTCTAAACAATATTGCTGCATGTGTAGGATCTAAAAGGCCATCAGAGTTTTTCCTTGAGTTAGATATAGTGCCCAGGGACAATCGACGAGTTTCAGGGTCTAGAGAACTTCTACGTAATAGGGCTCCTGGTAAAAAAAAAAAAAAAAACAAATAAAAATAAAAATAAATATTCAATACATTATTCATTAAACTTTTAAGAGCAAAAATGATGAAAAATATGAATTATTCATATGAGTATCATTTTATTTTATGATAAACATTGCAACATAATTTGTACATTATATTTATTCTTGTAGTGGCCTTTCAATGTCAAAGGGTCATGGTGATCATAATACAAATATTACAGACGATAATATCAAAATTAAAATGACAAATTAAAGACAATTCGTATGTTATACATGTATAATATAATGTTTTGATCAGCATTTGATTTTGGTATGTTAAAAAAAATATAATTATAATTCTTATACACCAATTGTAAAGAAATAAAAAGATTATTAATACTATTAATATTAAAGCAAAATGTGTCATCCTTGTTACATGATATAAAATACAAAATATTTGATTAATTTTATAGAAATCTTGAAAACAATTTTAATGATAATCATTATCTCATGTCATAAAAGGGCAAGAAATATAAACAAAGTGTCAATTAGAAAAAAAAATTATCTTCATCATTATACAGTACGATATACAATAAATATATAGGTACCATTTATTAATATTATTCAATATTAAATAAAGTTTCTATGTAGGCACATCAAAGGTCTAATTTCTCAGTATTTTCAATTCATATAAATTGAAATAATATATGTATTTACGAGTATGTATAATTTGTATTAAAATATAAATTGATACATATTTTATATATTATGTCTAAAATT